TGGTGCTCTCCTCTGGGACTATGCTATGCGGAAGATAGACGTTGATGCCATAGGTGAGAATGAAGCACCCTCAAAGATTTCTAGGCAAATCACTGAGTCAGATCCAAAGTTACAGATAGTGTTAGAGTAGCTCTAGGTGAATGTAGTTTTGGTATGTTATTTTAGGTGAATACTATTTTTTAGAATATCTTTTTGATAGAAGATGGTATTCAGTTAGAAAAACCAATGTTTTAATCACTTTATCAACAGTGTTCATGTATGACAGTTGCAACTTTTCAATCTATGTTTCATTGTTTTGTTCATAAGTATTCATGCTTAATCGACAGTTTCTACTCGTATGTATCTTACAGGATATATTCATACGTATTAAACATGGCGTATAAATGTGTATTACTATTCAGTTGCTTGGCTTATCAAAGTCATTGAAAGTCAGTAACTGTATGCTTCAGGTTATGTACTGTCTATAATAATTTGTCTAAGATGATGTTCACAAGGTTGTATTTGAATGTATTCAACACTATACTACAACTGTATGCATTTCAAAATTTATGCTTCAGGTTTTTACGTATGTACTCAACTTGATGTATGTATTTTACTTACTCAGGTTATATGTATTTATTGAATTTGTTATATTATGGCTGAGTATATAGTTGTATTCCGATGTATTTTGATTAGTTATGTATATACAACACAGGCACTGTCTATAATAATTTGTCTAAGATGATGTTGAGAAGGTTGTATTTGAATGTATTCAACACTATAATACAACTAAATGTATCCATCATCTATTCACGAAAGGCATTTCAAAATTTATTACTTCACAATGTCATCAGAAGTAATGACAAATCGTTGGAGCACTAATACATGTCAGAGTGTTAACTAAATCCTACGTGGAGCATTTCTACACGTTCGCTTGTTATGTCCTCCCTGCCCACATATGCTACATGAATGTTGATTTTTCGGCTGCAGCAATTCACTGAAAGGTTTATCGCGCTTCTTCTTTGGCCTTCCAGGAGGTCTTTTTCATTTGGGTGGTAATACAACTTCCTCTGCAACATGTGCTGGTATGTTCCAGTCATTTTTGTCCGGTAGCGGGATCACTGGCACATTGTATGTCATTACAACATAATTTGGTTTGTAATAGTTAGAGCAATAATCTTCTGGCATTAGAAACTTGCTCTTCAATACAGCCCAAGCATGTGGGCATGGTAATTCATCAACTTGGAACCTCCCACAAACGCGTTTTCTCTCTAACAGGCAGACGGTGTAATGCCTTCCTCCATCGTTAACCGTATGCAAGTATTCAGTCGATGGTACCACCTACATTTAAACATAGACCTATAAGTTTTGAGCACATACAAATAAATATCTTTATGTATAATGCTAAATTATTCAGTTAAATACAACTGAAAGGTTATAATACAGAATAATACATCATATATGTAGATAGGCAGACTATAAACTAAAATTATGTCTTAGCTTATGAATACATCTAAATAAAATACATCAAACATCTTCTTTAGGCAGCTGAAAAGAAAATACATCAGAATATATTTAAATACATGTTGTTATTCAAGACTAATGAGGCAACTAGATACATAGTACTGATATACATCTGCTGGTTATAATTACTGTGAAGTTTTAAAATACATTTGAATACAGTAAAATACATTTGAATACAGTAACATACAGCAGTTATATAAGAATAATGATGCCATTTAAAAAAACATCATAACACTACTGCATGACAATACAACTGAATACATATGCCTAAAAAATTCTGTATAAGTTATTTCAGAAAACAATTAAGCTATCTAAAGAAATAGCTTAATATATGATACAATGACATTAAAATGAAACTTACAGTCATGCGTGTAGAAATTGCCTCATTCAAAGTCAGCATCTCCTGGTACTTTTTTCCAAGAGTTGTGTATGTCTGTGTAGCTTCTTTGCGGTTACTGCAATTCCAACATCCAAACATCTTCCTAACTTCTTCGAGGAAGTCGTATATTGGCGATTCCCTTTCTGACACTAGTGCAACATTGATTGACTCAGCAATATTTGACGTCATGGTCCATCCCCTGTTAACGGGTGCATACAACCTAGCCCACTTTTCGTATCCAGCTAACTCCAAGTATTCTTTCACCCTAATATCTACCGTCTCCACCTTCTCCATCAGACTGTCAAATTCAGCTTGTGTGTATGCTTTTGCCATCGAAAAGTATATCTTGCTCAACTTTGCATGGCTCTTTTTGAATTTCTTATATACGTTGTTCCATAGATGCCATATACAAGCAAAATGCGGTACATCTGGATACACTCTCGATACAAATTTAATGATACTCTCATTTCTATCTGAAACGATGCACATGTTTTCCCTGTCACCGTATGCTATCTTGAATTGCTCAAAGAACCACGTCCAAGCAGCATCGTTCTCTGAATCACTAACACCATATGCTAGTGGCAATATATGGCCTGTAAAGACAATTGAATACATATTTTTAAAACATGTATTTCAATCTTTAAATTATTAACAGAATTAACAGAGTTTATTATAATTCACGTACTCACCTGCACCATCCAACGTGCTTGCCGAGACGAATGTCCCGGTGTAGTAAGATTTTAGGTGACTTCCATCGACAACCACAATGGGTCTACAATGATCAAACCCCTTTATAAAGGCATACAAAGATATATACACATACATGAACTCATTTTTGGCCGATTTTACCATTCTGATATGCGAGCCTGGATATGTCTTATCCATTGTATATAAGTATCCTGGTAATTTTTTGTATGAATCAACCGGTTCACCTCTCAAAAAATTCATTGCCTTTTCTTTAGCCCGCCACGCCAACATGTAGCTAACATCAACACCTAAATCTGATTTCACATTATCAATAATATCCTTTGGGGTGTATTTCCTCTTATGATTAGAAAGCTTAGGCCTAATCATACCATCTATAAGGCTGCTACTTGCATGTCGCTGCTCATACACCTTGTCCTTAAGCGGACATGTATGGTTATCAATGAGCTCTCTCACTTTGAATAGTTTTGATTTGTTAATGCTCGAAGCCATAAACCTCCATTCACAATCTTCTGACATACATAACAATGCATAGCTGCAAAGAATTTATCATTATACGTACGGTTAGCATAAACGTTAACCAAAAAATGCACTCAGGTACACATGAATACATCCTGACATCTATGTATATAAATTATTATACAACTGAATACAATTACAGTTATATACATTTAAATACAATGAATACAACTGAATACAATTATAGTAATAGGCATACAATTAAATACAAATAGTAAACATAATAGGAAAATAATTAGAGCCACTGTAATGTAATTATACCAGTAAAATTCATATGAATACATATATTTAAAGACCACAAACAACCAGATGTTAAACACATCAGTGAAGATCAACTCAAAATCCACAGATACGCATAAATACATCAACGTATAACTTACAACTCCAACCAATAATACAATTTACAAAAAAAAAAAATTAAATACACTCAAACCTGACAGAATTAGACCTATCAACCCGGAAATGAAACCTTTGAGATATAGCATAATTCTCCATCACCTCTTTCAATGTAGCTTTATCCTTATATACTTGGCCAACCATAACCTCCCTCTGATTAGTTTTTGAAATTATCAAATCCTTGTCCAGTTCAAACACCCCAATTGCTTCCCCTGAATTGACAAAATCTAGAGCAAGCGTATCATCTATACCGGAATACCTTTGAAGTGATTCGTCTATTTGCACAATATCGCCTTGAATTAAACTATCACCGGATACAAGTTCTTTTTCAATCGCTGTTATGCACAAAGGATACATCCCGAATTCTCTGTTCTCTTTTTTCAACTCTACATAAACCCTGTAACCCATGTCATTGTGTATTTCCATTGGCGTGCTATTCCCTTCTACTTTGTACTGAATTTAATGGACTTTGAGCTCAAATCTATGCCGAGTTGATGAGAAATTGACGCAACCAAATCATTATACGACGCATACTCCTTTATCAGTATTCCTTCAATTGAATATTCGACGTAATTGCTCTCACCGTTCCACTTGCCAGAATGTCGCAACAACACTGTTAAACTTGCCATATGTATAATGGAATTATACCGTATTCTGTATACAATTGTATAAATCGCACTGTTTCGTGGTTGAAAAGTGAACTGGATACAGAAAAAAGGGAGAACTGAAATTCAGATGTTGCTCTGGTTTTCGATATTTTTCTTCTTGAATCGTAATGGAAGAATACAGATTTATGGGCAATAGTTTGTGTTAGTTGAGTTAAATTAGGAGAATATCAGATGATTTGATTCCCTTTCCGTTTTAAACTAGTTCACCCTTCCATATTATACGCGAGATACGTTACTGTTTTCACGCTAATGACGCCTGAATACATCTCAAGCTTAGCTGGATTCCCAAAATTCACGCCTATTTTTGCTATTGTATTAATGAATACAATAGCTTAAATACATCAAATAACCACATAAAAGGTAATCCGTAATATAGCAAAAGGTATCTATAAATGGCTAATTTCACCTAAAAGATGGTGCTTTATAAAAAATTCTCTTTTAACAACTCTACCCCTAAGATTGACAACATTAATTTGCAATTTACATGCCTAAATTGTTTGGTGTTTCTATTACTCCACTAATTAATTTTTCTTATTCATTACCCCTTAAATAAAAACCATAAAAATTTAAATAAATAAAATAAATTCACCGTTCTTCTTCGATTTAATTTTCCAACTTCAGATCCTAAGTTGTTGGTTGAATGGGTGAATTTATTAAAAAAGTTAATCATCTAAAGTGACATTTTTTTACTATTATGAGAAGAAAAAAAAGGTAATAATACGGCCACATTAAATATGGCGTTACTTATGTAAGGACAAATTTAATCTACGATATTACGGTACAATAAAATTAGGTAACAATAAATACAATGGAATACATGTGGTAACAACCACCCAAAGAAGCCGTAAAATACACAAAGAAGAATGTTTTAACTTGTCTCAATTGTCACGTTTCCAAATTGATCAAAAGCTGGGCATTTGCGTTCGTCCATTTCCAAATTAGGAAAGACAGAATGGGAAAGAGGGTAGGGAGAGGTGGAAGAAGGGACGATTTACCGTCGCCGTCGATCTTGACTCGAGCTGTAGACTCCGTATTCGATTTCGTCCGTTTTGCTGAGTTCGAGATTCTCTTCGTCCTCTTCTTCGTTGTAGCTTTTGTCATTTTCAAGGATCTGGTTAGCCTTCTTTCCCTTTGTTACCACTTTTTTGTGTACTTTTATTTGTTTTAATTACTATGAATAAGCCTCTTTTTGAAGCCGGGAGGGTAATTCTGATTGTTGTGATTTGTGGTAATTCTGTTAATTGGTACATATGGCAACAACAACATACCTAGTATATTCCCACAAGTGAGGTGTGGTGAGGATAGTATATATGCAGATCTTAACTTGTAAAGGTGAGAGGCTATTTCCGGTAGACCTTGGACTAATTCGTACATATGGCATGGGTAGAAAGAACAAAAGAGTGGTATAGCTGGTAAAACAATTAAAAAAAAAAATGGACTCTCATTCAGGGGCAGAGGCGATATGCGAGATGCGGTTTCGGCCGAACCCAGTAGCTTTTGTTCAAATCATGTATTTATCTTAAGAAATCTATTGAATATGTTCAACTCATTAATTTAGAACCCAGTAACTTAAAAGTATTATACTTCCGAACTCATAAGGTTCAAATCCTGTCTCCGTCTCTGCTCTCACTAATAATAAATTAGCATGATGAGTGGATCTCCATTAACGTTAAGGGCATATACCATATGGTTTTGCCAGGGTAAGAGTACGAATGACCCAAAAGTAAGATATTTCCTATCATAGAGCTATACATATAGATTTTTCCCCTATATATAAATAGCAAAATAGCGTGATGAATGGTTTCTGATTCCATCTGTAACTCAGTGTGAGCACTCGACTCCAACTTTGATGGTTAGATTTACCTGCCACCTATGATGTGGGCACTACCTGGTCGATTACTCATGTGCCTATGCTGCACGGATGTCATCGTCATTCATAAATTAAAAAAGGGGGTTAAAATATAGGACAGAGAAACCCAAGCTATGTCTGTGCTTCCTCTTGTTAAAAATGCCATGCCAATTTGCAACTTCTCTTCTTTGCGGTTCGAGCAATTTTAGCAATCAAAGCATCAGTGGGGGGAACTGTTTCTTGTATTGTTTTCTTGACAGAACAAAATAGATAGTATGAGCAGGTGTGAGCTTCTGGAGCCAAGGTAATAAAGTTTTCTCCAAAGAGATTTGCAGGCACCTGTTTAACTTTCTAGGTCCCAAGACTCTAATTTATCTTGATTGGATAATCCTAGGCATGTATTTGTGCAAATGCTTCGAGTAACGGCATATGAAGGCTAAGTGAAGCAGATTAAGAAGCATTACAGAGTTCACGAAAGCATGTTGAATTAATCCATGATTCCTGTAAAGTTATGGCCTTTGGGCCTAACTGAACCCCAAAAGCTAGCTCATGAGAGGAGGATTATCCAATATCATATAAGGAGACCAACTGGAATGTGGATAACATAATACGGGGGCTCAACATTGAGAAACGCAACATTAGGATCAATGAGTTTGGCTCCAATACCATGTTAAGGAATGGAGAACATGACTTATAGTAGTGCAAAGTTGCTCAATTTTTTGTTGATATAGCTTTACCTTATTTTACTTTCAGGCAGATTACCCCTTAACTCCAGCTATCTCATAACAAATGGCTTTAATTAACCAATGGAGCTAAATTAGTTTTCTTTCCAGTTCAACTTATATTCACTTCCAAACACTATTTATTTCCTCTATCATATTAACCAATTATTCATATCCGTTAAACATCGAGTATGAGTTGCAGAACTTATGGGAAATGGTTGTAGCCATTATTAATTTTCTAAGCCGTAGTTTACTCTATCTTATTCAAGAAGGGTGAAACTTGAAAAAGAAGCCTTTTTTGTGGGATAGGGGGTGAGGTAAGCAGAAGAATTTGCCGTCAGTCTTCTCAACAAAGACCGGCAAAGTGACAGCCTCAGATGAAAATGGAGGGAGAAACTAAAAATGTCTAAGTGGAAGAAAAAAATTACGAAGTATGACTGCATTTTGTCTGCTCTTTTATATGCACATGTTGGCAGAAACATGAAAGTGAGATGAGGTCCTTCTGATCAAGTTTAGCTTCCTGCATCTTTGATCATGTTACCATTTTTTTGATTCCCACATCGGTTGAAATTAACATGAGTTGTGTATTTGACATGGATGAACACGTGAACATATCATCTCTAGAAACAAAGATACAGTCAGAAGACCTTTTAGAATTATGTTGGGGAAAAGATATAGACATTTACTGTTTATAATATATTTGTCAGTGTATCCCAAATGAAAAAAAAAAAGATTTAGTCATTAGAAAACGTTATTATCAGGTAAGTGAGAACATCTGATATTCCACATTTTTTTCAATTTTGATCGGCTTTCCCGAAGTTTATAAGTGGCGGTTTCATCCACCTGCTAGAACAAGAAAAGCAAAGTACTCAAACTGTGTATTTGAGGACACAACAATCTGATGGTCAGTGTTGCAATGATTTTAGAATTATGTTGTATATGAAATTAGGCAACTAATGGTCTTGAATATTAGTTTATGCAGCATCCAGGCTCTTTTTGTTTAGGGGACATAAAAGGAAGCAAGTATTGAGATACTTATTAAAAAGGGCAAAAAGGAATAAAGTATTTGAGATTGTAAAAAGAACATGACAAAATAAAGCTATATCATATATTCCTAGTTGTACAGAAAGTCTAAGTGGGAATGAGAGGATTTACATTAAATGTGTGGCCTTCAATGAGCTTTCTAGTCGTTCATCCTTGCTCTCTTCCAAGGCTTTTATTGAGAAAAAAGGTCCTGAAATTTTCCCTTGTCTGTTTCTTTTCAATTGTTAGGGGCACATTAAGGCTTCAGATAGAGTGATGAGACTGCAGGATGGACAAGTACTTATGGGTGACTACAGCAAGTCCATACTAGTTTTAATTCACCTACCTATTATGCTGATTGTGAGAATGCACGGGAGAAAAATATTATTATTGATTAATTGACAATGCTACAATGAGCCCTATATATACACACATAACATATCCTACTCCTAATACATATTGGATTAGGGTTAGAGTTATTTACTCCTATTTACACGACTATTCTAACACTCCCCCTCAAGCTGGTGCATATAAATCATATGTACCAAGCTTGTTACATATGTAGTTAATACGAGGACTAGTGAGGGACTTGGTGAAAATATCTGCAAGCTGATCATTCGACTTCACAAACTTTGTAGCAATATCTCCCGAGAGTATCTTTTCTCTAACAAAATGACAGTCAATCTCAATGTGTTTAGTTCTCTCATGGAATACTGGATTTGACGCAATATGAAGAGCAGCTTGATTATCACACACAAGTCCCATCTGACTAATCTCACCAAATTTCAACTCCTTGAGCAACTGTTTTATCCAAATTAGCTCACATGTGGCCATAGTCATTGCTCGATATTCTGCTTCTGCACTAGACCGAGCAACCACATTCTGTTTCTTGCTCTTCCAAGACACCAAATTTCCTCCTACTAAGAAACAATATCCAGACGTAGAACGTCTATCAGAAGGTGATCCTGCCCAATCAGCATCTGAGTATCCAACGATCTGCTCATGGCCTCGAACTTCAAACAATAAGCCTTTGCCTGGAGCTGATTTTATATACCGAAGAATGCGGACAACTGCATCCCAATGACTATCACAGGGAGAATCCATAAACTGACTCACAACACTCACAGGAAAGGAAATATCAGGTCTAGTCACTGTGAGGTAATTTAGTTTACCAACCAACCGCCTATATCTTGCAGGATCGCTAAGAGGCTCTCCCTGTCCTAGCAGAAGTCTAGAATTCGGATCCATCGGAGTGTCAACAGGTCTACAACCTGTCATTCCTGTCTCCTCAAGAATATATAAGGCATACTTTCGTTGTGAGATCACAATACCTGAGCTAGACTGAGCGACCTCAATACCCAGAAAATATTTTAATCTGCCCAGATCCTTAGTCTGAAAGTGCTGAAAGAGATGTTGCTTCAACTTACTAATACCATCCTGATCATCGTCGGTAATAACAATATCGTCAACATAAACGACCAGATAAATACAGAGATTTGAAGCAGAATGTCGATAAAATACAGAGTGATCAGCTTCACTACGAGTCATGCCAAACTCCTGAATAACTGTGCTGAACTTACCAAACCAGGCTCGAGGAGACTGTCTTAGACCATAGAGGGATCGGCGCAACAGACATACAAGGCCACTAGACTCCCCCTGAGCAACAAATCCAGGTGGTTGCTCCATATAAACCTCATCCTCAAGGTCACCGTGAAGAAAAGCATTCTTAATGTCCAACTGATAGAGAGGCCAATGGCGAACAGCAGCCATGGATAGAAAAAGGCGGACTGATGCAATTTTAGCCACGGGAGAGAAAGTATCACTGTAATCGAGTCCAAATATTTGAGTATATCCTTTGGCAACAAGACGAGCCTTAAGTCGATCAACTTGGCCATCTGGACCAACTTTGACTGCATACACTCAACGACAACCAACAGTCGATTTACCTGAAGGAAGAGGAACAAGCTCCCAAGTACCACTCGTATGTAAAGCAGACATCTCGTCAATCATAGCCTGTCGCCATCCGGGATGAGACAGTGCTTCACCTGTAGACTTAGGAATGGAAACAGAGGACAAAGATGACACAAATGCACAATGGGATGGTGAGAGACGATGGTAACTTAAACCGATATAATGAGGATTAGGATTAACTGTGGACCGTATACCTTTTCGTAGTGCAATCGGTTGATTAAGAGGAGACAAGTCCGCAGTATTAGCAGGGTCAGGTGCAGGACGTGAATCAGCTGGGCCTGATGCTGGGGGCGGACGACGATGATAAGTCAGGAGTGGTGGAGCTGTAGAAGGTTGAACTGGACTAGGTGGTGGCACTGGAGCTATAGTTGGTGGAACTGGACTAGGTGGTGGCACTGGAGCTATAGTTGGTGGAACTGGACTAGGTGGTGGCACTGGACTCGGTGGTGATACTGGAGCTATAGGTGGTGGAGCTGTAACTGGAACTGTAGGCGGTGGAGCTATGGAGGAAGATGAATGGGAGATAGGGACTGAATCTCCAAAAGAAGG